CAGCTTCAGTGTTGACTGTTCCCTTTGTCACCACTACTACACAAAAAGCCTTTTTAAAAGAGCCAGCAGGGATGGTTGGAACAGGTGTCCCTTACCCAGTGACACAGCATGTCCTTGGAGCAGACATACCTTTCCTTTCATGCATTCCTTTCCAGCTGCTCTGTGTTGCCCATCCCCTGCTTTTCCTGTCCAGGAGCAGGAGTTCTCCCAAACAGTTCTCAGTTGCCACACACTTTACACCTTCAGAAAATCTGTAGCAAGCTTGGTGTGGGCAGAAAAGGAAAGAGGGAATAATAAATACAATTGTAATTATAAAATACTTACCTTGAGACATTCTTAACCTGCTGAAAAGCTCAAATTTCACATTGGAATATAAAAGATAACCAACATGAAATATACTAGTTTGGAAAGCAGGAAACGTGGTGTATTAAAGCAAAGAATCTTGTTCTCTGAGTAGCACATACTAGGACAACATCACATCCCTTTATAATAGAGGGTACAGAATAGAGGATATAATAGAGGATAACTCTCCATATAGGAGGCTTACCTGGAGGCAGTAGAGGGGGAAAATTGTAAGGCCAGAGTTAACCTCAGCCCAGTAAAACCAGAATCATCCTGTCCAGGGACAGACTGGCCAGCAGGATGCCTCAGGTCCCTCTTGCTAATACTTGGGAAGTACAAGAGATTAAAGATTCAATATAAAAAGAGAGGGAGAGTCTAAAACAACAGCTCAAGTTCATGCAAAGGCACATTTCCAGGCCTTGATATCTCAAGCTTTTCATGCTGCCTTGTAGATATAAATAATGAGACCCAGTAATCCAATGATGTGGGGATTTTAAACTGGCAGGGATGTGCTGACTAACTCTCCAGGCTGCTGTATTTTCCTGTCACAGCCTTGTTAACGCCTTGTTAGCCGGGCAGCCGCCCCTGAGAGGGGTGAGTACCATTCCAGGTGCAGCCCTGAGCCCGGGCAGCCGGGCTGGCTCTGAGCTCTCCTGCTCCCCCCAGGTGCTGCTGCCGAGCCAGGGAGCCCTGCAGAGACCGAGCCGCCTGGTGTTCACGGACGTGGCCAACGCCATCAATGCATGACCGGGCCCTGCCCTGCCCCGGATCCTGCTGACAACGAGGAGGATGAAACCAGCAAAGCAGTGACTTCCTCAAGCATGGCTGATCCACTGAGCCCAGCTGGCCACCTGTTGGTTTGTGTTACACACGGGCACACAGGAGGTGCCACCACTCTGGGAAATAAACCCTTTGTGAGGGCAGTGGTGATTCTCTGGTGTGTGTGTTACCATCAAAAGCTCCTGAGCTCCAGTTTCTGGGCTGGCACTGCCTGACACCACCTACCAAGCTTTGAGTTCAGGAACAGTGCCTGCTTTGTGTAGATTAACCTGTCAGAGCACAGAGCTGTGCTCTCTGGGTCAGGGAGGGAGAGAGGGGCACATCTCAGAGAACTTCTGCACCGGCTCTGTGTGCCCAGGCCACAAGGAAGGTGATGGATGAGCCTCTCTGTGCAGTGACCACAGCCCTGGCCAGCCCTGGGGACTGGTGGCAAAGCATCTCTGAGCCAGGAGAGCTGCCTGCCCCAGCTGAGGGGTGACCTGGGGCACAGCAAGGAGAACAAGCAGGGGATTATCCCCTCCCAGGCCTGTGGCTGCTGGTAAACGTGCACCACAGTGGTGTGGTAGCATGGGGAATTCACTGGCTTGAAAAAGTGAAACAGTGAAGATTTGGCTGATAACATCTTAATCTGAGCAAGTGGCTGAATATCCTAAATTAGAGCTACTGTACAGACAGAGGGGGATTTCCCACAGCTAGAGCCAGGGACTATCACTGTCTGGCTGTGTGAGCCCTGCTGCTGAGCTAAGAATAAGAGCTTGGGCCACAAAGAGGACTTGAGCAGAACTAGGGCTCCAATACCATTTATCCCTTCCTGCTTTGGCTCAGGGAAGTTTCTACAGTGCAGAGTGTTATCCAGGAAAACACAGTAAGCTTCAAAATACTTTCTTTTAAAAAAGGAAAAACATGTATTGGCTCAACGACAACCCAGTGTTTGCCCCCAGAGATGACTAACAGCTGGTTTGTACTTCCTTACCTGCCAGGACCTGCAGTCAGAGCCTTCTCTTCTTCCTGCTGAAGGGAACACAGAGCTTTGCCTTAGCCTCTGCTCGAGTTACCTGCTAGGAACAGGTAGGTGGGACTAGACAGGTAAGCCAGAGGTTTCCTGTAGCCCTGAAGAATCTCTGCCTGTGCATCCTTCAGGGCTGCAGGAGGAAGAGAGCCAAGGGGTCTCTGGCCACCTTGGCACGTGGCAGAGCAGTGTGGGGGTCTGTTGGCTGAAAGCTTTTGGTGGGCACTGGCCCCGAGTGCTGCAGAGCAGCCAGGGAGCAGCATCAGTGCCCAGCTGTGCCCTGATCACCTCCTCATCTTTGGGTGGTTACAGGCATTGTCAATCAGATTTTATTCCATCCACAGCACCAGTTAAAAGGCAATCAGGGCAAGCCAAAATTTGAATGCAGATCTAAAGCTTTATGCAAGGAGTTGTTTCAGAGTGGCAATTCAGGTACCATGTGCTTTGTTGCAAGTCTGGACCTGCCAGTTACTTTTTGTTCTTCCCCTGTGTGATTTTTCCATATTCATTAAATGCAAACTCTTTCCTGGGCCTGTGCCCCTGACCCCTGCAGGGCACAGCTCCTTACCAGCCTTCCCTCCTCCAGCTTCCCTCAGGGCAGCTTTGCAGGGCTAAATTGCTTTAGTTTTTCAGTGTCCAGCTGTCTTTTTAGAACTAGGGATTTCTGGGGGTATTTTAGGGGTTGGGATGTGAAAAACAGCCCAGTCCTCGTGCCAGCAGATGTGGCAGGAGGCACTCCCAGGCTGCTGCTGTTTGACCCCAGGGATGCTGCTGGAAGGAAGGTGCATGGGTACAAAACTCAGAGTAATGCACATTAGGTCCTTAGAATTTGGAGTCTGTCTGTGGCTATTCCCAGCCATCAGCTGAGAGACAAATACCTCCCAACACAGACACACTTTGCAGCTCCTGCAAATGCTCACTGAGAGCAGCCACAGCTGATTTCTCCCTTCCTGCCTGTCCCCCTTCCAGGCTCTGCAGCAGACATGGATGCATGTGGTAGTAGGGGTGTCCAGCTGTCTTAAATTGCAGCATTTTCCCCAGAACTCTTAGGATTGGAATTTGAATGGTTGTTTTAAACTCAACAAAAAGCAAGTGTGAGCTGAGCTGTTTCCTCAATGCCTCAGCCCAGTGTGTGTGCCCTTCTCCCAGCTCTGTGCGCTGCAGTGCCACAACAAACACACCTACACAGGACTGCTCCTGAACCACTCTCCCTGTGATGGCAGGCTTTGTCCTGTGATGACTGCCCTTAAGAGTAAAGAAGTGCAGATAATAAGACTAAAAGAATATTATGGATAATTGCTGGGCTCATATTCTTTTAGTTCCATAGCGCCTCCTCTCACAGTTCTCAGATGTATAATTTAGCAGAAGCATTATGATGTAATTTAATTCAAGTGTTTCTGTGTTTTAAAGCATTGAAATATAATTAAACTATTTACATGAAAGTCTAGTGTGATTGTCTTTTTCTCCTGTAATTTCCAATTTCCCACAGGAACTGCTGGAGTGTTCCCCAGTATCTGCTGGTAATTTGTGTGCAGTGAATTCCCTTGCTCTTTCAAAAACTGAACTCCATGTGAAAAACTTGGAAGGGGAAGCTCTGTGGGGGTTAAAGTTTAGTGTTCTACAGCACAGAAACTCAGATCCCTTCAGAAAGGCTTGCTGGAGAAATCAGGAGGGCAGGAGCTTCCAGCTGCCAGTCCTGGGCATCCAGAGCACAAAAAGAAATCCCAACTTACCCTTAAGATGAATTCCTGTACAAATCAGGGGTTCATCAGCTCACCTGCAACTCTGCCCACACTGAGGGGAACAGAATATGACGACATTGTTGATATATTTCAGATTTGCTCCATCCTCATCTGGCCCACAGCCCCAAAACTTGGGACTAGTTAGGAAAGCTGTCAGATGAACTCAAGAGGCAGCGCACAGGCAGAGAATTAATTGTACTTAAAGCTAAATAGCTGTATAGCCCACAGAACCATGTGGGGGAGAAACAGACTTGACTGTGGAGACTTCTGGGTGTACATGTGAAGCAAAACTGGCTTGTGTTCCAATCAAGCCTCCAAGACACACAAAAGAATGGAATCAGGGCCCCGCATTTGGGCTTAGGAGGGGCTGTCTGATTTTCTCCATGTGTGATTCCTCATGCTTATTATTTCTGGTTTTCACATCAATCTGGGGCTGCTCCTGAATGACCAAATTTTTGTTTATAATCCCCAAAAGTCCAGGTCAAGAGACACTCACCTTATCCAGCCATGTGTGTGCTGAGGGTGCTGCACAAGGAGGAGGCAAAGCAGGAGCCTGAGGGGCATTTGTTTAAGACCTTTATTTAAACTTCAAGGCTAATTTGCAAGTTGCCAACACTCTCTATGCCTTCACCAAAACCATTTATGGGAAACTTCCAAACTTTGCTAGACAACAAACCTCAGTCACCTCCTGTGGTTTACCAACTGTAATGACCTCTTATTTTTGGCCAAGTCAGACCAAAACTGCCTGAGCTTAAAAACACTTGACATGCACTTGCTTAGAGGTAGGTTTGTCTACACAGAAAAGGTAATTAATTGGGAAATAAAAACATTTATAATTTCAAAAAAGACAATCCAAGTGATCCAGTGTGAAATCCCAGTTCCCTGCAGATGTCTGGAATTCTGCCCACCTTTCACAGGCAATGACTTCCATTCTAATTCTCTGTGTAAACATGGAAGCTGAAGTTATGAACTGGGGTTTCAACTACACACAGAAGAGCTCCTAAAAGAGTGGAATTCTGTTTGTTCTCCTCCAGCACTTGCATTTTTATGAAAACAAGTTCTTTTCTGGGGTTTTTCAGCAGACTGGTAAGAGGTAGCAAAGACTAGATTTTCATTTTTTTTTTTTTAATTTTATGAAGTACTTAGCATGCACTTCCCAGCAGAATACTGCTGACCTAAAGCAGATGGATTTACTGTCTGGCCAAGGCAGTGTGCACCCCTATTCCATGCCACCAGCTGAGAAAGGACTGACTGATGTCACAGGAAGAGCTTGAGTCTCTTACAGATGTAATCCCTAATCCATTTAGAAGCTGAAGTTACAGTCTCACACTGCAACAGCTACTGCTGTCAGGTAGCAGTACAGCCTGCAAACAGAGTACTGAACCTGCCAATTCAACTGAAAATCAGGCACAGAAGTTGGTAAAATATATTGGTCCGCTACTGGAGTAGCCTTTGAATGCAGATATGAACTGCAGCTGCACTTGGGAATGCACTGAAGAGCAGCAGAATTCAGGGGAGCTGCACCTTCTCATGTCCCCATCAACAGTACGGATTCACTTGTGTCATGTCCCACCCAGAGTTATCCCCACAGCAGGAGCTGGGGGTCAAACTCCCTGTATCTGGCAGCACAGCTCATCCTGCAGCACAGGATTTAGGTCAGTCCCTGTGATCTAATCCATTTAGTCCTAGATTTCTCTGCTATTTGCTAGTGGAGGCACAAAGATTATCTGTGATGCAGTTTTGTGCTGTGACCACCAAGCTCCATCCACAAGAGAGTACCCTTAGGGCAAAGCAGATACCACAGAGAATTAGGACTAGGACTCTCATCACTACTAAGCAGAATTAATGGGATCGGGATTCATCAGTGCTAAACTGGATGGACAGGACAAAATGACCCAAAAGGAAAAAAAACCCACTTTTCCCCTATTATCTCTGCAATCAGCCCTTCTTAATTCTGCATACATTTTCTGGTGTTAAATAAATACTTGCCAAGGGAACAGAACTCTGATGAAAAGATAATAAATGAGTTCAATATATACAGCCATTTCATGGGCTTCTGCTATGCACCACCATAAATTTAAAGCCAATTATGTTCTGTTTAAATATTTAACACTGTAAAGCTAGCCAATTTTACATCCTGTCAGAGATAATTGAAATACCCACTTTGTCCCTTTAATAGGCAGGCAGAACATCCAGGAGATGGAAAACACCACCGGGATTTCACTATTTGCAACTGGATATTGGAAATACCCTCAATTCCTCAGAATTTAACAGCTCTGACACCAAAAGCACAAATCTGCAAACAGTGTGAAACAGAGCAGCCAGTAACAATCTCAAACCAACTGGCTACTGCTGTCTCCCAAAACTGAACTATCAGCAGCTTTTATTTGCATAGTTGTGACACTAGAGGACCCCACACACGCATGTTAGGGACTGAATTTAAACTAACTTAAATTGAATCCCCAGGCTCTGCAAGGAAGCAACTTTTTAACTGGCTCTTTACAGACACTCCTTTGAAGAGATGAAATCCAGTGGCTGTGACTAAGCTTGTAAGCACTGTGCACTTGGAGCTGCTATCAAACATGGGGGGAGAGCCACCAGGCCAGAAGAAGTTATAGGAGAAGGCCCTGAGCTGATCACTTTAAGATAAAAATTTCAGAATCAATCCCCAAGATATCAGGGTGCAAACTTTCCTCTAAAGCATGGAATGTATGGCCACTGGAACAGCAGTGCAGGGCAAGCTGGAAATGCCATGAAGGTTTTTTGTTCTGAAATAGTCAAGAAAGGACTCAAAGGCTGTCTTTCAGATACAGTCCCTATGGGAAACACAGCAAAACTTAACTCCTGGCACTGCTCCATCAGCCTGCCAGAGGTGATATGGCAGACAAGCTCAGCCATTAGCTGTGTAAATAGATTTCCTTTCCTGTATCTGAATTGCTGAGTCAACTTCTGTTGAAGTACTGTTCTCTGTGGCAGGGCAAGGCACAGGGTGATCCAAGTATTTAAAAGAGAAATTATTATACTCGCAGAAGATACACTACAAACTCTAAAAGGCATCTCTCCAACAAGGCAATTTGCCATTTCTTCCCCTAAATCCTTGTTCGGATGTTTGGGGTAAGCAAGTCCACAGGCAACAGGAGAGAGCTTGGCTACAATTATCACAAATGAAGAATCTGAAATACAACATTAAAAGTCCTGTTTGCTTTCCACTCCTCTGGCTTCAGCAAGACACAAACAGGTGGGACACTACTGAGCTGCAGCAGGGATGTTACTCAGACATCTCCTGAGACCAGTGGTTTTGCCAGGCCTGGAGCCGTCTTTTCCAGTGATGTCTAAAGGAAAGATCACAGGAGACAGAGGGTTAGAGCTTTGGGTCCAGGAGCCCTGCTGCCCAGTGCCCCTTACAGATTTGGTGCCTCTTACAAGGCTGAGAGGTGACAAGGACCCACTCCCCAACAACCAGAAGTTTTCACAACAACATTCCCATTGCTCTTGTACCAGCTCCAGGCTGAATGGAGCTCCTGACACAAATGGCTTCCCTGGCAGCAGAGCTCAGCATGAGGCTACTGAGGGCCCAGAAGTGACAGTCTGTGTCACATGGTCTGGTTTCTGCTCTGCAAACACTCATCAACCACCTCTGCTGACAGCAATTATGTGTTTCCTTGAATCCTCATGAGACACCAAGTACCCAAGTGCCCTCCCAGTATAAACACCAGGGAAGTAGATGTGCACAATGTCTGGAAATGGTGTGAGTGGGGAGTATTTTTGGCTACACAGGCTTGCTGTGATCTGTGCCTCACCCCTGGCTTTCAGGAGATCTGAGCTGACCACTGGGGCAACAGAGGAAACACAGGAGATAAAGCTTGTGTGAAGAAGAAAGCAGGGATAGCAAAATATTCAAAAAGGAGCAAGATTCCAAGGCTGCTTCTGGGCTTTGCACTGGCTCCTGGAAATTCTACCATTAAGCAACCTCTTTTTCCCTCACACCTAGAGTCCATTAGCCAAGAACAAGTTATTAAGACAAACCACATCTGCCACTGTGGCTTAGGAGCCTATGAAATGAGATTCAATCAATCCTTCAGTAATGGTACTCACAGAAAAAAACCCAAATGCTTCTTGACCCAGAAAAACAGAAATGTTTATGCTGGAGTTGTGACTGGCAGCATCTACAGGCAGCAACACAACTGAGCCTGATCCACGAACAAACTCCTGCCTGCTCTTGGATAACCCGGAGTGCCCCATAAGCAGTGCCTTGGGAAAAGCAGAGCTAGATCCCCAGGCAAAAGCCATGGGAATAAAAACCAGCAGGCTTTAAAGCAGTTCTCTGCCCCAATGGAGGCTTGCAAAGCTTGCATATTTCTAATGCACCTCTTGCTGCTTATCTTGATTTTCTCCATAACAGACTGAGAGACAGAGTCAGTGTTTATTTCAGCAATTCAGATGAATGCAGCAGACACAAAGCTCAGGGCAGATCTCTTTCCCATATGGAGTTTTGTGCAGTGTACAACCTGCAGGATGGGCAAGCATTTGAACCCTCCCATCCCCTCCCTGGTGCAGCACCTCAAAAATCCCCACCTGGAAGGGGGAAAAAAAACCCACCAAAGCCCTCAGTGGCCAAAGCTCTGGCTGTGTCTATAGAAGATCATTATGAGATCACAGGCTCCTGCTAACAAGTCTCAGAGCAGTAGCCTCCTGCATGAGTAGCACAAAATCTTGCAGGGATATAATACCCCACAGAATGGGTTAATCCAGAAGCTACCTGTGTGTAAGCTGCTGCTACAGCTGCACTGTGCTTGCACACAAGCCCCAGGATCCACAGTTTCCAGTAAACCAGAACAGCATTCTCCTTTCCAGTCAGAAGTTTTAAGCCAGGATTACCACTCCATCTCAAGCTCCTGAGCAAATAACAACTTAAGACCTTTTCCAGAGGATTGCCTGGTTTCATACTGTACACGCTTATCCCCAGTGATTTCCTGGCCGTTTTTGTTCTCCCAGAAGTGCAGACGCTCCCCACGAGCAGAAGTCCCCTGTCGGCTGGGCTGCACTATCATCCCTGCACGGCCCCTCCAGCGACCGCAGCATCCGCTGCTCCTGTCCCAGCTGCCGCTGCCTCCCTGCCGCAGCAGGGAAGCGGATTCTCCT